GAGAGAGAGAGAGAGAGAGAGAGAGAGAGAGAGAGAAAGAAAGGAAGAAAGAGAAAAAGAAACAAAACGGTCATGGTGCCTGTATACTCCCCCTTGCCCGTATAAAAAACAACACGAAAAAACAACAACAAACAAACAAACGAGCACACACATTCTGCTCACCTCCGCACCGTCATTCCCATCTGCACCAGCTGTACCAAAGACGCCCGGACAACACAGGAGCCACAGCCACACGCCAAACACACACAGCTGTGTTCTAGGTCAGGGGGGGAGACAAAACAAACACATACACAGCTGTGTTCTAGGGCAGGGGACTGACAAAAAAACAACAAAAACAAACACATCTTTTCTCTAGGTCAGGGGAGAGACAAAACAAACACCCACACACACACACACACACACACACACACACACACACACACACACACACACATAGCTGTGTTCGAGGTCTAGACTAGGGAGAGAAAAAACAAACACACACACACATAGCTGTGTTCGTGGTCTGGGGAGAGACAAAACAAACACACACACACACACGGGGCAGCCCTATGTTCCCTAGCCCTATGTTCCCTCGCTCTATGTTCTCTAGCCCTACGTTCCCTAGCCCTATGTTCTCTAGCCCTACGTTCCCTAGCCCTATGTTCTCTAGCCCTATGTTCCCTAGCCCTATGTTCCCTAGCCCTATGTTCTCTAGCTCTGTAATGTTCATTTTCATTATAAACTTACGCTTGACCACTGGTCAGTTTAACCATAGCTTGACCATTGCTTAACCAATGATCATTCTGACAATTGCTTGAAACTGTCACACTGACCATTGCTTGACCACTGGTCACTCTGACCATTAGTTGACCTTTGGTCATCGTGTAACATGAATAGAGCTGAGGGAACATAGGGCTAGGGAACATAGAGCTAGGGAACATAGAGCTAGGGAACATAGAGCTAGGGAACAAAGACATTGACCCTGTGTTCTAGGTCATGGGAGAGAAAAAGCAACACTCATTTATTCTGTGCTGTGGGTCAGAGTTTTGGTGTTTTCAGAGCTTCCGAGCAAAGAAATGAAGAACCATGATTGGCGATGTCTGTTGTAGATCTGGCACTTAATGATGATAATATTTTGAAGTTTTATAGTTATGTAATGAAACCGGTTTCCCTGATAAAAACCATTAATGCCTTGTTTGGGCCAAAATTTCTAATGATAATGATAACACCTTCATAGAGTAAAGCCCTGGGTGTGAATTTTCAAACACACCCAGAATATCACACAGGTGGTCATCAAACGTCATGATCTCGTCCGAGAAGCATTATTCTGGAAGTGAAGGTGGAAGGCAAAAGAGGATGGAAGAGACCTAACAGAAGAGGAGTTCGAATAAAGAGAAACACATCCACAAAATAATGGTCATTTGGTGCAGGGAAGAAGTGAGCCAGACAGACAGAAACAATACAGGGACATAAAAGAAGTAGGGCGTACCAGTTACGCAACTTACACACGGGTCATTCAATCCAAGATTTTTCGCCCTTGTCCGAGAAGGCTTAGGTGTAGATCTTTTCTACCAGAAGATCAGGATTATGGCTGAAAGACAGCAGTAAGAGTCAGGAGCCCAGAGGAGGAGGGGGGAGGAGGTGAGGGGGTGGGGACAGAAAGTAGAGACGAAAGAAGACAACAGAACATTGCTAGAGAGCAGGATAGGAGGTGAAAGGAGACAATTTTAGAGAAAAATGTTCCGTCGGTACCTGGATTCGAACCCGGGACTTTTGAATTGAGAGGCGAACACCTTAACCTCTAGGCCACGAGAGCCCCCCATTCCACACTCCTTATAGAGGCCGATTTAAAAAGGTTAAAAAAAACAAAAATTCAACAGAGACTGTGGTGTAGTGGTTAGGTATTCAGCAGCCGCACGCAGGAGATTTAAAAAAATAGCTCTATGTGTTCGATTTTAGTGCGGGGAGAATTGTTAGCAAATATCTCGCGTTTTCTGCTGGGATGTTCAGGCGCTGTCAGCCCGGTTGGTCCCGATAGACAAAGTCAGAAGTCTCCCGCATCCTAAAGGATCTTAAATTGTGCCGATGTGGGCATAAAAAACGCATACACTTAATAAAAACCAAACCCACTTACCTCGATATAGAGACGGTCATTCCACGAAGATGGCCAGACATTTTGAACTTTTCACTGGAATTGTCGCTTTTGTAGAAGAAAAAGAAACATTAAGATATGACAGATTTCTGCTTTCAGCTGATTTCCTCTTTCGTTTGTACCATGGATTTTGCCTGGAAACAATAAAAGGGGAATTCCGTAACGAGCGACAACTATGAAATATGTACAGAATTAGGTTTACGTTGGGGCAATGGCCAGAGTCAGGTTCAGATCTTTATTGTGGTGTTGGGGTGGTTGCTCGTTTTTCGAAGTCACTAAAAAATATATAAATATACATCTATAAAAATAAGAAATCAGTATATACACAGACTATGGGTGACTGTTTTTATGTAGGTTTTTTTTTAAATTAGACTTTTACCACTCTTGTAACACATACAGGTCAAATGAATGCCAAGTTTTAGAGGTAATATTAGACAGCAACGTAAATAGAACAGGAGGACGAGAGATAATGACAATAGGTGTTTGATAGGAAAGAAGATGCAGACCACACCAGAGTACCCTCCAACCACCAACATTAGAGTAAAGGCAGAGTAAATGACGACTTGGGAAATACGATTCCTTACGAAAACCCGTGAATAGATCCTGGAGAGACGAAATCCCCATACAGATCAGAGAAACGGCGGGCAAAAAATCAAATAACGACAAGCATCATATCCAGTTATAAAGAATATGATAATAACCTGGTTTCGGCCACCGCTTCCTTACCACTACCCCAAGGTCTTTACGGCGCTCGCAACTGCATGAGGTCATATGAGCACGAGGGACATATTGAAAATTTTCAGCTAGTAGAAAATTTTGAGTTCCGGATGACGGCCGAAGCCTACTCTTATCGATTCTTTGACCTCCAAGGGATCTTTAACATGCAAACCTTCCACACGTGACATCCGAGATTTTTCACCGTATTCCGAGAAGATTAGGTGTTAGACTTTACCTACCATAAAATCAGGAGTGGGGCTGAAAGACAGCACTTAGATCTAGATTGAGCCCAGAAGTAGCAGTAGAAAGAGTCAGGAGCCCAGCGGAGGGGGCAAAGGAGGTGAGAGAGAGAGAGAGAGAG